CCAGGGCTTGAAGGGGCCGGCACGCGATAGCCCTATCCAAGGCCCCGGCAACGCCCTGGAGGCCTGGGCCGCTGCCGAAAGCCGCGGCCGCTCGCCGAAGCGGGCTAGGCCCAAGGCTGGGACCGCACAGGGTTGGATGCTTCAGGGATGAAGGCGGAGTCCACAGGAAAATGAGGCGCCTCGGTGTGGGTGAGGGGTGGAATTGCTGACAGACCTCTGATTGAGCGGAATTTCCGGTCAGAACTCAGCGTTCTAGGGCCAAGCGTGTCTGCCCAGGGTGATGCCTGGGAGGCTGAGGAGCAGGTCCGCCAGGCTGCTGGAGAGTTGTCATCAGTTGTCCGAGACCAGCGTGGGGAGTCGAAAGCAGTATCAATCTAGGTCTGGAGCGAAAGTTCTTCGGGGCTTTGGGGTCTTTGGACGTCGGCGATGAAAGCCAGGATTGCTTGAGCAAAAGGCGAGGACAAAGAAGAATCCGTGCAATGGTTCTGCCTTTTGAAGCTATTTTACCTGGAGGCCCAGGCCGAATCCCGATCGAACAGGATCACATTAAGTTTCGGGCGGTTGTGTGCCTTACTATCACGGGCACAGGTTTTTCCGATTTAGGCACACCCGGGGTGTGAGTGTGGGCAGGTTCGCCGCGCTTTCCGCGAGAACTGGCAATTCCTTGCTCAGAGCCAGTCCTCACAGGCCGGCTCTGAGAGTGGCCATGGAAGCCATATGAAGCCATGGAGGTTCAGGTCTCTTTCGCTCTTGTCCATAGTTCCGGGCGGTTGTGTTAAGTCCGACAGCTGGCCAGAGGGGACCCAAATCTGGAGCAAGCTGTGTACATCATCGGTCTGAGTGGTTCCGACATCCCGACACAGAGCCACAGCCAGGAGCTGATAGCCAAGCTGGAGGAGCTGACCGAGGCCGTGCTCTCCCGTGGTGTGGTGCCCTGTGGTCCCTATTGTGCACCATAAAGTGGCCCCCAGGCCACAGCGAGAACCATGAAACTCCGAAACTCCAGCGCAGATACCGGCTGGAGTTATTGGTGGCTGAAGGTCAGAGGCGGGTGAAAGTATTGATTTTTCAGCAGAACATGGCTTGATGGCCCTCCCCTTCCTGCCTGTGGCATGCACATGGGGTTTACCACGGCTGTGGCCCTGGCGCAAGGATCTTGACGTTTCTTGCCCATCCGAAAACTTGAACTAGGGCGCGGCTGTCTGCGAGAGAGCGGTATTTTTCAGCTGCTGCTCCCTCCCCAAGCCCTCAACAGGAAGAAGTTCGTCATTTCCTGCGAATACACACGTGTGTCTGGAAGTCGTGGTTGCCTTCGTGGTTGGGCCTCATTTCTGCTCCGTGACACGAAGTCCAGGCTTGGCAGCATGGAAAAACTGCGCAAATCGAGCCTTCTTGGCTGTCAGACATGATTGATTGAATGCTGGTCTCTTACGCGTTACGCCAATTTCCCGAGAAGGAAGGAAGATTGGAGTGAGCTCGAGCTGTTCTCGGATCAGGTGAACCTGTGTTCGGACGGCTTGTACATATGTATGTATATATATACACACACATCATATATATGTATACACACATACACGTGCATGCATACATACATACATACATACATACATACATACATACATACATACATACATACATACACACACACATGTATATGTGTATGTATACGCAAAGCATATATTCATATACACATACATACATATACATGTCACATGGTACATATTAGATGTGGATTGTGTAAGATGATAGTATGTCTTCAACTTGCTAGGGCATCGGTATGGATCACGAGCCCTGTGGACAGAATCACGGAGGGATTGCAGGTTGTTGGAAGCACGAGGAGTCACTGCCACAGGCACCAACACAGAAGGACGGAAGACAGTGGAGACAAGCCTCCTGCCCTTCCCGACGGAACTGTGCTCCAGTCCAGCTTCAGGTGGCATTTGGAAAGACGCGCGGCCTGGAAGCGGAGGAGCTTTCGGTTGCAGTTAGAGCGAAGGGGCTCTCCCGCGGCACAGCAGGCTGCCCTCGTAATTTTGCATGTGATCTTGTATGATAAAGTGTAGTTTGCATATTTGCATCGTTTTTTGCTCTGCTGCTGCTTCTTGTCACGGGGCCTGTCTTTCGCGAATCGGTGTGCGGAGTCCAGTCAGCAGGACTTGCTGATGTGGTGAGTTCCTCAGAACTCCCCTCCTTCGTGAGTCGTGGTCCCCGAGCTCGAGCGTGAGGCAGCTCTTATGGACGGACGGTGACTTGGCCACAGAAGTCTGCTCCTCGGTGCCAGTGCCGTGAGAGGGGAAGCTCTCGGGCTGAGCCTCAAGGCCGGTGCACCCCCTGCCGATGAGATGCTCCTGATGGGCCTGAATGCCACGGAGCGGAAGGCACGGAAAGTTGGGGCAGCTCCTCGGATCCACGGTTGATCGAGTCTACCTGCAACGGCCCGCATCGCAACACGCAGTCTTCTACTAGTCTTCTTGTGCTGAAAGGTGCATAAGGAGCTGAAAGGTGTTACCTGTAGCAGGGAAGCCTGATCAAACAGGATTTGGAGTTCTTTTCCGTCAGGTGGTCCACCAACTGGCACGTCTCATCGGGCTGCACTCCGAGAGCAGGCGTGGTTCACAGCTTCCTTCCGCGGCACTAGAAGTCGTCTCTTTAGCTTCTGGTACAGCAAGCGCTTCAGCCCCTGTCGAATGCCAGTGTTTGAAGTTGCAGCAACATTGCATACTCTCGAGCGCAGCATCGATCGTGCCAGAGCCTGGAGGCTCCTTGACGATGGCCAGGAGGGAGATGACACAAAACCGGACAAGGCACGCGCTTCGAGGGTCCCAGTTCTTCAGAGACTTTCTGAGCATGGTGCCTTGTGCCTCTCGGCAGATGGTGCACCCCCAGGCATTGGCGCTGCGCCCTCCACGGAGCCTGCGCTGCCGCGCAGGACGTCGGGCAGAGCCGCTGCTCGCAACGCGCAAAGAGGGAGTAGTGGCACGCAGAGATCAACTTCAGAGTCATTGCCAGGATCCTGGGCTGCACCGTTTTCTGTATCTCAAGTACTGAACTCCTCAGTGATGGCTTCGTAAGTGTAGCAAAGGCTGTCGAAGCTCGGAGACTGGATCCTCCAGAGTTAAGGCGGTTTCCGCAGAGCTTTAGTCGCCTTTTTCAATTGCCGGAAACGGTTCTGATCATTTGCCTACTTAGACAGTGCAACAGAGTTGCTATCGTGACAGCTCATCATGTCGAATGTCACCAACCGGATGCACTTGTGCCTCACTTCGCTTGCTGAGCCTTGCCAACAGCGCTCGTGGAAGCCCCAAGTCTGATTTTCCTGGACCCCCTCAGGAAAGGAGGGCAAAGCTTCGCAGTGTACAGTCCTGGGTGAGGAGGTGGAAAGGCTCAAGCAAAGAGCAGGAACGACCTGTAGCGGCCCCAGTCGAGCTCCACCGCCTCACCAAGTGCATGCATGAGCGAAAATGAATTGATGTGCGTTGCCGTGCATCTATGCTTGCATCCCGGCATCATCCCCCAGAAGTCCACCGCCTTGCTGTCCGTCTTGGCTTTGGTTATCATGCACGACATGCTGCTGTGATCTGCCGTGTCTGGCACAATTACGTCTGCGGGCACCGTCCTAGACGACGGCAGGGCTGGCTCCATGCAGATGCGCGGCTCTGTTCAGAGCTTGTTTGTTGTAATACTGGCCTCAATCAGAAGCCCCCCACCAAACCGATTAACAGCCGAAACCAAGCTCCAAACTGTCCGGCCTTGTGTGGCATCGCTATCCCTGTCATCTACAACTGCAACTTGGTCGTCACCCCTCAGTCCGCAAGTTTCGGACCAAACATACAAGTATCGCGATTCACTAGTTCATGACCGGAGTCGCAAAGTGCAATGCACTCCAAAGGAGGGGCCAAAGCGGGCATCTATCCTCATGCTTCGTCTGCTGCTACGATTGCTGCGCCCCTTGATGCTCTAATCTGGGATGCTCTGTTGTTGCGTGCTTCGGCTGCTATTCATATACAGATTTTCATGTTGTATTGAGAATGTCTCGGCAACTGGTCGGACCAGAACCTCCGGTGGAGCTGCTTTCAGAATGACAGCCGAAGGCAAGAAAGCTGCTCCAAGAGGCAACGAGACTCCACGCTGTGGTTATTCTGGCTTGCAGTTTCAGCTTCACTGCATAGGGCACGTCATCGTCGCAGCCTCCAGTAATAAGTTGTGCTGGGTCAAAAATGTAGTGCAGCAGGAGGTTCCTTGAGAAGCAAGAACCAAGCCATATGATGTGTGATGCATGTGCAAACCCTCACCGCACTCGCATGCTGTCCAGAGCCGTTTGTAGTCATGCTAGCGCGTGCGAGATGGCTGCGTTCGGCCAGATGGGACAGGCCCGGCCCAGTTCTGGAATGTTCTGGATTCTGGACACATTGAAGCAGCCGATTCAAGAAGTACGGCTGAGCGGAGCCTTCCTTCAGCCTTGCAGGCACGGAGTCTGATTTTTAGATGCTTTGTCGGCGATAGTTATCCGGTTTGTGCTGTGCGGCTTCCTGTCATGCTAGCTCTCGCATCTTTCCTTTCTCAGCCCACCTCAAACCCAGTGAGTTTAAGCCGGACTGTATTTGTTGTGATTCGTAGAGCCCGCCTCGTCAACAAACAGCCATGAAAGAGTTGCCACTGCAGGATGCATGCTTCGCAGCTCAGATTTGCCCATGCGCGCGTGCCAGGCACGAGGGGCATCCATGGATTGTGCCTTGTTCTGTTGCAGGGCCGAAAGTAAGACATCCAAGCAAACGAGAAACACGAAAACACAAAACCGGATCAAAGGGAGCGCTGAGTTGCAGTAGCCCACTCACGATCTTTGCACTCTACCTGTGTTTGTGGATTGGGGAGGTCAACCATTGTGTTGATTTCCATAGACAAATGCGTTCAGAAAATGTCTGTGATGGTGCGTGTTTCGTATGTTCCGGACGACCGAGACAATGCAGATTGGACAGTTAGAGTGCGTGTCAGCGGCAGGCATGGCCTTTGGCCACGCACGTCTCCATCAGTGCAGCCCCCAGCTTTTGTTGCAAGGCGACCCGGGTTTGCGCACGGTCGCTTCTCAGGGATGCTCGGAGTAACTTGAAAAGCCGTAGACGGCACCAACAGGGTTCTAGGACGTCCCAAGTCAAGCCCTCGCGTGCGATATCGTGCCCAGGCTGCCCCATCCATGCAGGTGTTCCTCCAGAAGCTTCCTTGGTGGCCCGACCGACGAGCCGACTCCCCAGTTCCTGAGTCTGCTGATCAGAGATAGGCGGATAGGTCGATAGATATTCGCAGAGTGCCGCAAGAAATCATGACCGAGTGCTTGCACTGTCTGTGCTGATGATCCAGTTTTACCGACCTATCGACCTATCGACCTTTCGACCTTTCGATCTTTCGACCTATCTGTCTATCGACCGACCTGTGTATCTCAATCTGTCCGTCTCTCAATCGATCCGTCGATCGATCTATCGATCTACCGATCAATCTATCGACTATCTATTTGTTTTTGTTTTCATCTATCTATCTGTGTATGATTATGTCCTGTATGTGTGTATGGATGCACATACACAAGAACACATCCACCCGTCATTGATTGCTCCCTCCCTCCCTCCCTCCCTCCATCCATCCATGCATCCATCCATCCTCCATGTGTTCATGCATGCATGAATGAATGAATGGATGGATGGATGGATGGATGGATGCGTGTGTGTATGTGTGTATGTGTGTATTTATACTGTTGCGCAGCCGAGACTGCCGGCATGCGTGGACGTGGAGGGCTTCAACATAGACTCAGACCAAACCAACCAGCAAACAGTATGTGATTATGTACAGGGATAGATGGGCACAGACAGCCTCCGAAATTCCGCCTTTTCTTCCGCCGAGGCAGCTCTTGCCGAGAGGTAGGCGGAGACAGCTGGAGCAAAGCTTGCAGACCGCCGGGGCCCCGCTGTGTCGCCAATTTCCCGAAAGGCGGAGCGGCCGTGAAGGATCCGAATCTGATTGAAAGCAAGAGCTGCTGAAGTTCTGCCTAGCCTAGAGAGCCCGGCGGTAAGCTTTCTGAGACCTGGTGGTATGGTGCGGCCGGCATGACGATCTTCGCTTTGGTCTTCGCATGTGTGCCGCCCCCTGGCAGCATCGCGAAGTCAAGTGTCAAGATGCGGTGTGGCGCATGGGAGGATTGGTGGCGGGGTCTGTCGCCAGGCTATACAAGATATACTGCCAAGCCACAGGCCAGGGCCAGGCCGGTTGGAGCTGGGCGCTTCGGAACTTCGGACCAGGACTGAGGCACAGGGCTGCTAAGATCCATGCAGAGCCTTTTGTTGCCTCCTTGGCACTTGGCAGGCCTGGGGGATCTGTGTATGCACGGTCAGACAGATGTCTGAACATTTATTACTAGTCATGCTCTTGGCCTCGTCAATGTGTGAGCTGTTGGGAGGCATCATCGGTGGGGCACAAAGAGTACTCGCCACCTCCGTCCAAGGACCGATGGCTGGCAGCAGCTGCCTTGAACCCCAATAGATCCCAGACCGTAGGTAGGCCTTCGGGCATGTTGGGATTCGTCGAACATCCCGAACTTCTGCCAGAGATTTCCATCGGAGGGCCTTCGCATCTCACCCTACCGCACCCAGCTTGTAATCCGAAAACGCGATCCGACACCTGCCCTCCCGAAACCTCGCGGATGAAGCCACAGCGAGTGCTTGCGAATCTGCCTTCCCTCTCGCCCGGCTTGAGGCCGACACCGCCAAGCCTGCAGCCATGTCAATTTGTTTCAGCCATCTGAAGACTCCTCTCCAGGATTCTGTGGATGCCAAGCGCCTCGTTACCGTGGACTTCGCGGCGACAGTCCCTGCGTCAGCATGCAGGGCTCTGGGCACAGAAGAGCCGTCAGTCCTAATAAGTTGACCAGTCGTTTCATGAATGAAATGTTGAGTCCACCAATATTGCTGAGCAACAAGAACACCCACGCTCTGTTTATACCGTTACAGTCCTACCCACCCAAGCATCGCCGAAGTCCTTGGAGACCGTGGCAGAGGGACCGTCAGGCACAGCATGCGGTTTTCCAGACGTTCCCCCACTGGAACTGTGATGTTTTGAGGCCTGGAACCCTTGGCAATGCTGGTAAGTCCTGACAAGTAAGTACAGGCACCCTGCTCGCCACTCGATGACTTGATGGATGGCGAAACACGGAAGCTTTGGTGTCGTAAATGCAACCCCGGATGATTCATCACCCTGCGAAGTTCAATATGTTCTTGTAATACTTTGGTCCATGTAGGCCAGCACGAGAACCATGGCTACATAGGACATACGTCTGGGAAGGTGCAGTTTGCTGGCGAGAAATCGGCTTCCAAGGTGGCAGGTACCAAGGCGAGTCTCATGGGGCTCGCACACAGAACAAATCCCGGCAAACACTTGCGACGCGAAAGAATGTACTGAGAAGTGTGTGGTTCGGGTCTTAAGTTCCCGCTCTATGGCAGACCTCAGACTCCCAAAGCTTCATCTTGCCAGAAGCCCGGACCTCCCCGAGCTCTGATCTGCCAGTCAGGTTCATACCTCCCTGCCGTGGCAGTTTGTTCCGCAGCAGCGGCGCGTGGTTGTTGGCCTCGGGGACCAGCGTGGGGGGGCGGGGGCGAAAAAGAGGGAGGATCAGGTTTCGCCCCTTAACGCACACAGATGTGTCTTCACGGGATTTTGGCAATCGTTTTGTATCTGCCACGGGATCGGACTACTTGCTAGCCCTAGCTAGATTGTCACATATTTTTATGAAATTGTCGACTGCCATTGGAGCTCACATGTCATCCTCCGTATTCCTCCGTCCCGCGCCTACAAGGAGACTGCGCTAGCCTTCTACCGTGCCAAGTGCGGAGCCGAGATCGTCTCCTGTCGTTTGACTCTCCTCCGCTCCGCACAGTGCAGCATGGTCCAGCAGTTCCGAGAAAGTTTGATGGTGGCCGGCTGCCATTCAAGTATGCGCCTTCTGCTGCAAGCATGGTGGACCAATCCTATACCGTGACAAGTTGAATCGGGACTTCACGAACCAACTTGCGAGTTCCTTCTTGCCGGATCTTGCTTATGCGAGGAACACCAGCGATCGGCCAATTATCGGCGTGTCCGTGTACCACATGATTCCTGCAGAGGCGGAAGCTTTCCATGTACGGGAGAAACTTTCAGGATTGTTCATGCAGCAGATGGAGCGTCCAGCAGAGCCAGATTCGGAGCGGCATCTCAACCCTAAACCAAAATCTAAACCCGAGATTCTAAACCCCTAAACCCCGGGACCTAAACGAGTCCAGAGCTCTTGTGCTTGAGTCGAAGCCGCGAAGCCAAGGGTTTTTGGCACTTCCGCTCCGTTGCTCGACCTAGGCAGGACTCTACTTCAACAAGCGTCGTGGCGCAAAGATTTTTTGGTTTCTTTCCAGGTCTTCGGTGCCGGTTGGGCTTACTCATTCAATGCATCTTTTGTTGGAATCATCGCGTTCTTTCGCTGGACGTCCATCTCACTTCGCCTGCAGTCTCGCTTTGAGAAGTAGTGTCTTGGCTCAGGGGTCCTTAACTTCTCGGTATCGATGATAGTTCAGGTGTTGCTAGGTGAAGCGCAAGTTGGTTCGGGGCCGCGGCCTCTACCTGTGAACTTCACAACTAGCAGTCGTAGCCCCCCTGTTTCTGCGAGTCTGCGGGCACCGTCCCAGACTGTAGTGTTGCACCCAATTACCTGCCTGAGTTTTCTTTGTAGCTTCCCTGGAGCCCTGAGAAGCGCAGCTCCGGACAGAGCAAGGATCCAGTGTTTCTGCTTTGACGAGCAGCTGATCAATCCAGGCCGCTCGACCCTGACACAGAAGCTGCGTTTCCGTCGACAGCACCATTCTAGAAACCTCGGCGGACTTAGCTCAGCCTTTGCTAGACTTGCGGCAGCGTGTGGCATCGAGGTGAAGAGGTCGACCTACCGATCTTCTTCTTCATTGCGACTCGACTGACAGTGTGGTCGGGTGTCTTGTGGAGACGAGTTCAACGTGCTGAGTGCTGCCGCATCGACCAAAGCTGGAAGTACCATGAAATGCTTCCTAAACCTCACGAATTCCTTGCGGAAGATCCCGAAGCCCTGATCCAAAGGACCCGATGATGGGACGTGACAAGCGACCTCCCCAGCGAAGCTCTGGTGCGACGTAGGAGAGGGGACGCGCCTGTCAGCCTGCGACTGGGAGTCTCCGCGCCCAGTCGCTTTGACCACGTGGACCACATCACTTTGTCCTACCTCTTCTTCGAGTCGGACTCCGAGCTTCCCGACGAGTACGAGGAGTCCGGGCACCCCTCCTTCCCTTTTTTGGGGCTCTGTTGCGCTCCCTAAACCCTTTCTTGCGTCTCTCCTGTGTCTTGCAGGAGTTCAAGAAGAGCTTGCCCTCAAGTGCATGGCTCAGCCAGTCCCGTCCGATTCCGAGTATCTCGTTTCCGAACCGGCAAGGTCAGAAGCCGAATGTGCTGGAAGCCCCGGCACCCATCCCCCTGCCCGCTCGAGCCTCAATCCGGGATCGGAGGAGAAAAGCCAAGGAACAGAATGAGAGAGGGAGAGAGCCCCTTTTTGCAAGAAAAAGAGCTCTAGAGAGCGCCAGAGCCTCGAGAGCCAAGGCACCGCTCCCTGCCTGAGCCGGGGCCCTGGGCCACCTGCCCTTCGAATCTGAAAGTGTTGAGCGGTCCGCCACCCCTGGAGTTCAGGTGCTCCCGTGAGAGCACGGGTGGCTGCGGAAGCGTGGAAAAAGAGGCCGCTTCGAGCTCTCCTGCTTGGAGGATCATGGATGTTTCTTGCAGCATACCGGCAACTAGATGTTCTGTGAGAATTCCCCGGCACACATTTGCACGATGAGGTCCACTGTGAGATGCAGGCATATGCAGGCTTGATGTCTGCTGAATGAGTCCTGAAACGGGAGCAACAGTCTCAAGACAGCCGGCGCGCATCAGCGCGCCCGACTTTTCAAGTCATGTGTCAGACCGTCGGCGGACATGGTGATAACCGCCGCCACATGCGGAGGAAGCATCATGATTCAACAGAGGAAAAACCAGAAGCAGTCCATGGCCGGTGCTTGAAGAGCCATGGAAAAAGCCGACACGGAGCTTCCTGCGCTCCTGGATCAGGCACCTCCTTGGCTCACCCCGCTGAGCCCATGCACCTCTCACGTAAGGTGCTGCCCATGCTGGAGTGGCTGGACATTCGTTCGGACCCCGCGGCGGATGCGTTCGCGGGTTGCGAGCGCTGCCGTCGCGGCCGAGGTCGCGTCTGTTTGACGCAGCGGCGGAGCAGCGAGGCGCTCCTCCGGGCCGGGGCCGCCAAAACGGGAGAGGAGAGAGGAGAGATGAGGAGAGAGCGGGATGAGCCTGATGATTAGTCTCAAAGTGGAGTGTTCAGCCTGTCAGTGATGGGGTCGTTCAGTTCGCCTCTGCCAGAGGCGGTGTACTCCCGGTACCTGTTGAACACGCCTGCATCGGTGCGGGCTCGCCTGAGCTTCAGTGCTATGCTGTGTGCACGACCCCACAGCTCCGGGCAGTTACCGCTTGGAGGGCAAGGATAATCTCGGAAGGTAGTTCAAAGCGCTCGCACAAGTTCGCATCATGGGTCTCGGACCTCTCCTTCGTTGCCAAGGGTTTGGAGGCATGAGCCCGGGCGTGAAAGTTTGGAACCAAAAGCCCAGGCGTATCCCGGCTCGGCAAGCGGCTGAGTGGGGCGCAGGCAGTTGTCCCTTCCGTTGGTGGTTAATACACGGCTTGCTCCGAACCTGCGATGAAGGGGCGGAGGACCGATCTCGCTACATGATGTGTTCATGGGTGTTGGCGATTTGGCTTCCAGGTTGCAAGCACAGCACTGGTGGTTTGGAGAGTGCATGGCTTGAAGTGGGCTCCGGACAGTGAAAGAGAGGAAAGCGAGTAAGTGGTGTAGGGGCCGCTGACAATTTCAATCTTTCCGGCACTGCCCCAAACCTGTGTCAGGGTTCGGGCTCGTGGATTTGAGGCTTCAGCCTTCAGGTGATTCAGGTTTCCGATTTGGTCAAGGATGTCAGTGAAAGGTACCGGAAAGGAAACAGCTAGCAGAGACCACTCTTCATATTATACACACATTGGACATGGAGTTGTTGGAACAGGCGTTATCACGTTCGATTTGCCTGAGGTCAACCAAACCGGATGCACACGTAGCAGCTTTTTCCCCGCGGCCAGTCGACAAGCTGTCCTTGCAAATCGACACGGAGCAGACTTATGCGACATCGGCGACCGCGACTTGTATCTCTAGCGGCCACAAGTTGGTGAAGCTTCATTGATGTCGATCTCAATCGAACTTATGCAGATGAAAAGCCACAGCTGCACGCCCAATTGGATTCCGCATACTTCCCTTTCGATTATATGAGGGAGAACTTGCAACTCCTAGTGGAGGGTGCGAAACCACATCGAAGATAGGCCTTCTACACAATTTGTGAAGAAGCATGAAGAAGCCTTGACCCTAAACCCGAGTCAAAAGGCTCCTCCCCTCCACCCAAAAATGCCGTAAATCCGGAGAGAGCTCGGAAGCCAGGCTGCCCAGGCCCGGGCATCACCCGAGGCGCGGACCGCAGCCGCCGTGGAGATCACGGTGCGCCCGGGCCTCCAGGGTCGGGCTTAGGGGTTCAAGGGTTTTGGGATTTAGGGCTTGGGGGAGTGCTTCTGGGCTGCCGTCTCGAAGTGACAGTTTTGAGCCATAGGATACTGCCGATGCTCTGCAATTAGAGCTGATTCGTTGAACATTCAGGGTTTTTCGCCTGCTGGACATGCTGGAGTCCGAGTTAATAGAATTGCTCTTGATCTCTGGGTAGTTGAGGGTCATTGTTCAGCCGTAAAGGGTGCCAGGCACATGGCAGATGCATCGTTTTCTGGCAGCAACAAGTTTCATGAGGTTATGTGAGGTTACGCTGCCGAAGCCGGCTGTGATCTTGCCTGGTGGTTCGGCGGCAGGTTTTGCAGCAGTGCGTCCACGTTCTCGGCGAGAACTGCGGGCGGTATGCTGATCTTCTGGAGCGGTGCTGCCGGCCCTGTCGAAGGCTCTCGCAGAGTCGAGTCGGCTTCGGCCTTCGGATGCCAGGGTTGGCTTCACGGTCGGGGACGACTTGGAGTGCATGTCTGATGCGCTCCTCGAGTCCCTGGAGAAGCTCCAGGCCAGGCAGAGGCCAACTCCTTCCAAGGGGCCCGTTCTTAATTTTGTTCGTGTATCTCTGCTCTCAGGCGTTGACCGACGCCGTCACGCGACTGCGAGACGTGGCAGAATCTCTGCCGCCGCCCGGCACCTCTTGCCGAAGAAGTGGCGCTGACGGCGGCCGCTTTGCCGCAGCTTGCCATGCCTCAGACGCTGCTCAAGCGACCGTTCGCCCGTGGCAGCTTTGTCCCAGGATACCCGCTCGAAGACGGCTGAGCTGCGGTCTGGAAAGAGTGGGTCAGAACAGTGCAGACACTGCGGCCTCTGCCTGCATGTGGAAGCACCTGCCGGATGGTCAACGAGCTTTGTTCTACCGCAGCCTTTTCCCAGCACGTGTCCAGTACTTCTGCTTGAGAAGTCAGTGACTGTTAGACGCCATGGGCTCCGGTTCCTCGCAGAGCGCAGATGTCTCCGGCCCGACACAGCTCGAGGATAAGTACTACCCCGAGTGGATCAAGAATCCTGAGAATATCAAGGATTTGTCCGAGAAAGTGGCGCTGATCACCGGGGTCTCCACCGCCTCTGGCCTGGGTTTCTATGCCACGAAGGCCCTGGCCTCCAAGGGGGCCCAGTGCGTGATCACCGTAAGAAATGTCGAGAAGGGCAATGCCGTGGTTGCCGAATTGGAAGCGAAGCTGAAGGAGGAGGGCATCGACGCGAAGCCCATCGCGGTCATGAAGATGGACAACTGTGACTTCGAGAGCATCCGAGGCTTTGCCGATGAGTTCAAAAAACAGTACGATCGCTTGGACATCGTCTGCAACAACGCTGGCGTTATGGGCCTGGACGTCCAGATGACAAAGGACGGCTTCGACATCCAGATCCAGACGAATCATCTCAGCCACTTTCTGATGACTCTTCGGCTCTGGCCCCTCCTAAAATCCACCGCAGAGAAGCATGGGGACGTGACCCTGACGCAGGTCTCCTCCGGTGCATCTGAGAAGGGAAAGCCGACCGTGGATGCTAGCAACCTGAACAACCCTCACCCGCCTCACGGTCTGCTGCTTTACTTGGCTCCCTACGTCCTCGGTGGCAGCACTGGCCACTGGGCCCGCTACGGTCAGAGCAAGCTGGCCAACGTGCTCTTCGCGAACGAGCTGCAGAGGCGCTTGAAGGACGCCGGCCTCGGTGACAAGATGAAGTCCACATCTTGCCACCCTGGCCTCGCCGCCACCAACCTGCAAATCACCACGCAGAAGGGTGGGGGCATGAAGGATGGCGCCGGCTACCAGAAGGGCGGCCAGTCCTGTGCGGACGGATCCCTTCCCCTGGTCATGGCCGTCGCGCATCCAACTCTCTGTGAGGGTGGGGCCTACTATGGACCCTCCGAGGGTCGAACTGGCTCTCCGATCAAGACCACGAACGAGAACCCTTTGGCCTACGACGAGGCAGCAGCAAAGGCGCTCTGGGAAGCTTCGGAGAAGGCGGTCGGAGAAGAATTCAAGCTCTGAGGCTGTGAGCTGCTTTGATTGTTGGTTCTGCTGCCCTAGGAGGTTCAGATTAATACAGGTTTTGCCGCTGCTGAGATCAGTTCTCAGCACACTTTCGCAAGATTAGCGCGAGGACGGCTCCGATCGTAAAGCGAGGGAGCATTTACAGAGCTCGCCCCGTTCATCCACGCTGCGAGGCGGACAAAGTTGGTTCAAGCCTGCGGTTCTCGGATGGCTTGACAAGCTTTCTGCTGTCACCGTGCATCGCCGTATCAGAAGAACCTTGAAGATGGCCAAAGTATGTGTGCCGCTGTCTGGGAAGGCTCCGGTGGTTGCAGATATTGGGCCAAAATTCCTCCCGGCTGCCCCGAGAAGCACGGGGCTCAGCAATCTACTGGCGGTCCACGTGTGAGAGTTGCCGGTAATTGTTTGCTAAGGCTTCTTGCACATGGGAGGAGAAGGTGGGTTTGGCA